CTAGCGAATTAACTTTTGTAAATTATTGAAAATTACTCGTTTAGAAATGAATTTTTTATTTTTCGCTTTCAAAATAAGTAATCTCCAAGCAAAGCTAAGCATAAAGTGTTCTTTGTATTTATTTCATTACTGCAATTATCTGATGCAGCTTAATTTTTCGTTTTGCTAGGTCTTTTATCAAGTTTGCAGAAGTATGAATGCAAACTTGCAGTAATAATTTATTTATATGACTAAATTAATACTTCCTTTACATTGATAAATAAAAATAGTTGAATACATAAATGATATTAAAATTCATATTCATTATTTTCAAGAAAAAAATCTCAATGTATTGTTATTAAAAAATAGATCAATCACATTTTTTTTTGGCTAATTTCTTTACTTAATTGAAATATGCTATCTTTTACTGATTTCATCTAGTTCATTAATAAAACAAACAAAAATATTTTAATTTTTAAACCTTGTAATAGCAGCAACCGATAAAAAATCAAGTTTTTTGTTTCTGCTTCAGCTAGAGATTTACTTCTAAATGTAATGGTTAATTACTTCGCTTTCATCAAAAACAACTCGTAATTTTATTTATCGCATTCAAAACTATTGTCCGAAATATAATTATCCAACTTCTCATAAAAAGTATTAAAAAGCAGTCATAAGTATATAACAAGTAAATAAATTAAATGTTTTTTGCACGATTATATGCAGAAATAACTGAAAATGCTCAAATTGAATTGCTCTGCTTAATTCCCACCATTGAAATCTTGAAAAAAAACAAGTTAACATTTACTGAGTTGCGTATTGGAAAAATAAGAAAAAAAAGATAAAACAGATTAGTAAGACTAAAATGTAGTCAGTCACATATCATTGGATTTCAGTTTTTGCTATTTATGTATTTTTGCTTAATTGCTCACTTCCTACTGAACAGAAATTGGTTATTTTCGCTAAGGTAAGTGATTGATACATATATTTCCTTGTATAGCTAATTGCAAATTTTATCAATAAAGAAGTTCTTATTAACACCAAAAGAATTTAATAACAATGTATATATCGCTTCTTCTTTTTATTTTTCTTTGCTAATTAACAAATTGTTGATTGTCAATTATGGATAATGCATTTTATCAATTTAATTCTTCCTTCCTCACACAACAATTACCAGAGTTTTTCACGAAGATTAAGTTCATTTTTAGTTTTATAAGTAGTTAATTTTTTTGCACACTATAGTTTTCGTAAAAAGCTTCTATTTAGTTTTTTAAACTGCTCTAATAACACATTTCGCTAACTACAAATTTAATTAGCTTTTTGTGTTTAATTTGTAATTTTTTAGTTTCATAAAAAATCATATTTCTTTGTAATCAAAAATGTGTGTTCTTTGAACACCTCAATTACAGTCTATTCAACATTTCCAACCTTCTAATTCTGTTTATATTACTTTGATCAAAAACAGATTTATAGAAAACTTAGATCTTGCATTTTCAGTTCAAATCATTGCAAATTAAGTTTTTCTGATACTTATTTTCTATATCGATGAGTAATAACATTCCAATAATATCACTTTTCCTTTTCCTATAATCCTCATCAGTTAAGTTGTCCTTTATGTAACTTCGAAATTTTTGTGCAAAGATTGATTTCTTCGCTTTCTAATATTGAAATCAGTTTGTCTTAAATATTTGCATAAATATAATTATTTGTTTAGTACTGCAGTGCTAATCATTTTTTAACAACAATATTTGATAAATTATGATGAGCTAGCTGCTTGCTATGATAATAATATTATTTAGTGCCATTGAATTGTTGAAGTTTTTAAATATCATTTTTATACTAATCTCGTTTGTACTAATAATTTTAGAATTGAAAGTAATTTTTATTTTTCGTTTAATGTATGTTCAAAAGTTTTCAATACATCGTAATTCAGTAACATAATGGAAAAGACAAATGCAAATGTTGTTTACAGTTTATCAGTATAGTTTATAAATATAATGCCATGCATGTTTAATAGTTCTGAAGAAAGTCAGTAACAAAAAACAAAGCATAAAAAAGCTAAAATTGGTATTATTAACAATATTCAAAAAAAAAACTGAAATTTAGTTTCGAGATTATTTCATACTGACATTGTCAGTTTTTGTTTTGTCATATGAAAATTATTGTATTTGCTCTATTTGTAGTTTTGTTAAAGTTTTTTTTCACTGAGAATGGTATCATAAGAATTTTATGATGCTTAATTATAAGTTAAATATAATTCGAATTAGTTTTATTTGCTTTCAGTATGTATAAATATTGAGAATCTTTTTTGCTAGTTAATGTAATGTTCAAAATTTACGAGTTTGAATTAGCTTTCAAAATTTGATCAATTGATTAATTCAGTAATTACATTTACAATCAGTTTGACTTGCCATGCATTATAACATCCATCCTTTTGCAACATAATAAACTTGCTTTCTATCAAACTGAATGAACCAGTTAGTTTACTTATCAACTTCTTACATATTAAGCTGCTTTTTAAATGAAATGGAAAAAGAACCACTTTTGAAGTATTTCTCTAATACTTAGCATTATATTATTGAACTCACAGTGGAGCAAAAAATGTTTGGATTTGCTCAATCATTTCCTTTTTCATTTAAAAAGATAAAACGTCTATATTGTGATGAAAGCTTAAAATTTCATGTTCTATATTATTATTTTTTTCTTGAATCTACTCTGTTCTTGCAATTCTTTGCAAAGTTTATAAGCTTGTTTCATTCTTACTTTTTAGTATCCTAGCTACCTTTTGGAATTCATTAAGTTGCTGCAAATACAGTACTATAATCTACTATTAAAAGTGCACTTAATTTCTCAGTTCTTTGCAAATTTTTTATATTACATTAATAAGTTAGAATATTATAACATTAGGTCGCACCATGTATAGTACAAAAATAAAGCATAATTTTGTTATTATTTACTATTAAACACAAATTATGTTATATAATCTATCAAAGGAAGCATCATTTATAGTGGAATTTTGATTTTTGAGAAAGTGAAGTTGATTGATTTTCAAATGTTTGCTGGGAGAATATTTCTTGATTAATGTTCTTTCGGTTTTTTTTATTTAAATGCTGTCAAGCTATATGATACTTGATAAAGAATTTTGATATTTCTAATGTAATTGGGAATATGGAGCAAGAATAACACAAAGTAAACCTTTATATAGAGAAATAATGTCTTGAAGCAGTTTTTTATTATGAATTAAGAATATTGTATTATTGCATTATTTAATCACTTTTGACTTGAAATTAAGTAATGAAGTCATACCATCAATGGAAGTTTTTTTGTTAAGTAAAATATTCGTCTAAATAGCTAGCTGCTGAAATTTTTGTGTTTATGAACCACATATTAGACTGATTATATAAAAAATATAGCTTTAATAATAACAGTAGTAACTCTTGATTTTTCGTAAAAAAAGTAACAAAAATTTTAAAATTTTATTTGTTTGCGGAGATAAATTTATTTATTACTTGTTTTAAAACACAAATTATCATTACTGTTGTTATTGGTTCAATGACATGTGTTTGGAACAAAAGACAAAAAATGCTTCAGAAGACTTTCCTTATGATCACAATCAAAGAATAATTTAATTCGCGAGAGGGACATGATGGAGATCTTTACATATATAATAAAGAAATTTAAGAACGATTCCATGTGATGAAAAGAATAGAAAAGAGTTATTCACAATGTGATATTAATGGTGGTAGTAGTCACAGAAGTAGTGATATTATAGCAGTAGTATAATATTAAATCATTATCAGATCATTGATTTTCACAAAAATGATAGTTTTGCGTATGTTGGCAATGATGCAACAGTTAAACTACCATCAATCTGTATTCTCATCAGCCGATTCCCATTAATAACTTCCAAGATGTCAACAATTTTTAACTACTTCATTTCATTTTTTTTATACTCTTGAAAAACCAATATTATCTTGCTTGTTTCTTGGCTAACTTTTCCTTTAATTTTTTAATTTTTAAATTTAAATCTCCAACAAATATGGTAATACGAATTTTGTCAGAATATTAAAATGTAATTTTTATAATATTGTTGTGTTTTTAAAGCCAAATAAAAACTTGCAAGTAGTTCTTGCATATTGTTACAAATTTTTTTCTTTTTTTTGTGCTGTGCTATTTAATCAGTTAACATTGTAATTGTCTCGAAAAAATGTCAATACTTGTAAGGTAAATCACCTAGAAACCTTTGCAAATGTATGAAAACATACCTTTCAGCAACTATTAATTTTGATTGAATACTGCGATAATTCTTGGCAAATTTAGGATTTAAATTTTAACTGTAACTAACGATAAAGTTAAATTGATGGAAACGATATAATAATTTACTTGTATTTATACTGCTTTAAGGCTCAATCTGAAGAAGATAAAAAAATCCAGAAAGCGAACTTTTGATAGACACGCACTATTTGTCCATTGATAAGATATCGTGATAATAAACGTTGGATGAGTAAGATTCTTTTTACTACTAATTTGTAGAAAATATGATGACGAGCGAATTCGGATGTACACTATCCGAACTTCGCGAACTAATGGACCTTCGAGGTGTCGAAGCCCTCACGCAAGTATAAATTTAATATTCTAGAGATTCAGAACTCAAGATTAAAACAAATAACTTTTCGAAAGATTTTTGTATACCTTCATCTATTAGATAATGATGACATGAAGTCACTTGTATCTTTTTATTTCTGAGAAAGTTTAAAGCATATACATATAATTTAATAATTATTCATGTTGCATGAGAATTTTTGCTTGTTTGCTAAATGTTTTCATATTTAAGCCACACATCCTCTCAATTAACAGAGAAGCTGTTCTATTTAAAATCAGTGAGAAAGATAAATGTGCAAAGTTTTGAGTCATCAAAAAAAAATTTTTTTTGTTCACAAGTAACGGAGAAATTTTAGGTGAAGAAAAAATATGGTGGTGTTGAAGGTTTATGTGCAAAATTAAAAACTGATCTGCTAACAGGATTATCTAATGATAAATCATCATTAGAAAGAAGGCGAAAAGTATTTGGCAGAAATGAAATTCCACCTGTACCTTCCAAATCTTTCTTGCGATTAGCCTGGGAAGCTTTGCAAGTAATCTTTTTTCTTGATTGATACTACTAGAAATTTATTAGTTGACTTCTTTCATTTCAGTAAAACACAAATCAATCTCTATAAATAATTGATAATTATCGATTTTGAGTAAATTTCAGGACATAACGCTTATTATTTTATTGGTCTCAGCTCTTGTATCTTTAGGTTTATCATTTTACAAACCGCCTGATGACTTAGAGAAAGGTACTTTACTTTGATTTCTTTGCCGGAAATTTTTCAAATATGTGCGCAGAGGTGTAATGATAAATTTTTTAAATGTAAAATTAATTTTAACAGTTGAAGTATTTGATATTTACTTGAGTAATCAGGTATCCTAGATTAATTTGTTTTCCAGGTGGACATGATGCGGGTGAACGAGAAGCTGGCTGGATTGAAGGAGCAGCCATATTGCTTGCTGTTATAGTCGTTGTTTTAGTCACAGCTTTAAATGACTGGAGTAAAGAAAAGCAATTTCGAGGTTCCAAACTTTAACAGTGAATAAGAAATTCATTTTACCAGAAGTTGCAATGATATATTTGTAACGAAAAAATTATTTTCAGGATTGCAAGCAAAAATAGAAACTGAACATAAATTTTCTGTAATACGAAATGGAGAGGCTCTTGATACCGTTGTTACTGAATTAGTTGTTGGTGATATTGCACGGATTAAATATGGTACAGCTTTTTTTGAAGGATTTGCGAGCTTTCATTTGCATAGTGCCTTTTTTGAAGCTCACGAAAATCAATAGACTTTTCAGTTGTAATTTTTTATTACAGGTGATTTGCTACCCGCTGATGGTTTCTTAATACAAAGCAATGATCTAAAAATAGATGAGTCATCATTAACTGGTGAATCAGATCTTATAAGAAAGAGTCCTGAAGATGATCCTGTATTATTATCTGGTCAGCAACAAAATTGTTTTATATTAATTTGCATTTTTTTTTTCTGCGCAGTTGATGATATATTTGAACTTTTAATAATTTACAAGCCAGCCTAGAAATTAGGTGAGAATTAACAGTGATTTTGAAAGAAATGTTTTCAGGTACTCATGCAATGGAAGGAAGTGGCAAAATGGTTATAACAGCAGTCGGTATTAATTCCCAAACTGGAATTATCATGACATTGCTTGGCGCAGCCAAAAGCAACAATAATAAAAAGGGATTGAATACAGTTTCTCCTGAAGAACAAGTTAATGGTAAGTCTAATTTCGATAAAAAACTAAGTTCAATTTTGTGAAATATATCATTTCTTGCATTATCAGCTACTCATAATACTATTATATTCAAATTTTTTTTGCTGCATTTGGTTATTTCATTCAGCAGATCAATATGCTTTTAAATATAGCTAATCTCATTATCACTGAAAAATTAACTGTCTGTTGCTTTAAAACTGTTGTCTTATGATTAAAATATTTGAAATTTTAATCTTTTTAGCTATCAGTTTTTTTATTCTACTTAAAAATTCTTGTTATAAAACAATCAACTTATGATAACAGTGTTTGATGCAGTTAAATGGCGCATCTTGATATAGTTTCTAACATTCACTAATAATTCATTTATAGCAAAGAATTCGTGATCCTAAAATAATGAAAAGTTTGTTCTCAAGGTTCGCTAACTGGAGCACAACCTGAAAATACTCGGAAGCAATCAACAGATTCAAGCGAATATGATATTAAAATGTCAAAATCAGTACTGCAAGGGAAATTATCAGCATTGGCTATTCAAATCGGTTACATGGGTCAGTGGGCCAGTATTTTTTTAACCCATTTATGGAATAAGAGACTTTGGAAAATTCCACTCACCTTTAAACTGTTTTAAAAGGCAAAAAAAAAGCACAAGAATCATTTTTTTCAGGTTTTGTGGTTGCCGGAGCAACAATGGTTATTCTCATACTACGTTATTGCATTACTCAGTACGCTATAAAACATGAACCATTTAAACCCTCTGATATATCTTATTTTGTTAATTTCATTATTGTCGGTGTCACTGTGTTGGTTATCGCTGTGCCAGAAGGCCTTCCTCTTGCTATAACACTTTCATTAACGTATTCAGTCAAAAAAGTAAATAAATTTATAATTGTAAAAATGACAGAAGTACAAAATTTTTGATTGTTTCGTTTATATTTTTTGTTTATGAATGCATTATTTTATTCATAATTGCTCGTCACAATCATACCTTAATTTTGTTATTCTTAGTTTAGATGATGAAGGATAATAATCTGGTGCGACATTTGGATGCATGTGAAACCATGGGTAATGCCACTGCTATATGTTCCGATAAAACGGGTACTTTAACAACGAATAGGATGACAGTTGTACAATCATTCATTAATGGTATGATAAATTTTGTCTGACAATCAAAATTAATGAAAACTTTATTTAGTTGTTCAAAAATTTGTTTCACTAATGAGCAGTTATATTAGTTAATTTCTGATATTACATATGTACCTATGAATACATACATACCATACATACATATATTTAAAAAAATTATAGAACGATGCAATGAGAAATTATCATTCCATTCAAGTCTTCGTTCACATTTTTAATTTTTTAGATTTATGACTTATTGAGAGCTCTTTGTAATAAGCATGATTTTTTTAAAAATAAAATTCACATTTTTAATAAGTCTCATGAATAAACTTCCTGATATATTTGACGCGGTTTTAAGTGGGAATTTTTTTAAATCATGATTTCAGAGGAATATTACAAAGAATGTGCTCCAAAATTTGATAAATTGGATGAAAATACTCGCAAACTCTTAATTGAGGGAATTGCTGTGAACAGTGGCTACAATTCACAAGTGCTACTTCCTGAGCAGTCTGGCATGCAAAGAATTCAGGTTACATTATAAAAATAAATAATTACTTTTCTTTTTTTTTAATAATTAAAAAAAAGTAGCAGTCATTAATCTATTTCATTATTTTCATAGCTTGGAAATAAAACAGAATGCGCTCTGCTTGGAATGGTTCTTGATTTAGGACAAAGTTATGAAAGCATACGAAAAGAACACCCGGAACAATCACTTATTAAAGTATGTACATTAAAATTGCAAAAAAAAGGTCATTAAATTTAAATGTGAAAATTAATACTCCATCGCTAACTTAGCAATTGAAGTGAAAAAAATACTAACAATGTACAAGAACTGCTTCCTCATATGAAATGTCTGTAAATATATTTTAATAACATTCCACTGCACGAAATTTTTAGTCTGTCAATTTTTAGGTGTACACATTTAACTCAGTAAGGAAGTCGATGATGACTGTTATTAAGATATCAGCAGGTGCTTATCGAATTTATGCAAAAGGAGCATCTGAAATCATTTTGTCAAGGTTAGGTTAAATTAATCATTGAGTAATATGGAGATTTAGCAAAAGTCATTATTTGTAATTATTTTATCAGAGTCACGCATATTTATTCCAGATGTTCATACATACTTGGAGCAAAAGGAGAAGTGAAACCATTTGATGATAAGGAACAGCAAAAATTAGTACGAAATGTTATTGAACCAATGGCTTCTGATGGTCTACGAACTATTGGACTTGCTTACAAAGACTATATTCCAAAGAATGAAAAGGCAGCCAAAAATGATGTAGTTTTGATTTCATCTTCGAATTTTATTAAAATGAAAAAACTAAGTTCATATGGACATTAATTTAGAAGAAATATTGAATTTTAATCAACTAAATATAGTCTAAAAGTAAAATTTGAAAATTCAGATAGTATATGAAGAAGCAATTGATTGGGATAATGAAGAAGAGATAGGATTAAAAATGACTGCAATTGCTATTGTTGGAATACAAGATCCAGTAAGACCAGAGGTTCCAGCAGCAATAGAACGATGTCAGAAAGCTGGCATTACTGTTAGAATGGTGACCGGTGATAACATAAATACAGCACGATCAATTGCAACTAGTTGTGGGATTCTGAAACCAGGAGAAGATTTTCTAGCTCTAGAAGGAAGAGAATTCAATGCAAGGTATTTATTTACAAAATGCACTTCCACTTAAAATTTATAATAAAAGTTCCCTGCCTTCATATAATTAAATTACTTATGTTCATCTCTTAAACTACAAAATTTTCAAACATTTGCTTTTAACATGTTCACTTCACTATATTTATATGGTTCTGGTTTATTAAAAATTTTATTTTAAATACCGATGGTCTTCAAAGAATAACATTTGCTTTCAACTCAAAAATATCGAGGTACTTGTATGGTGATAGCTTAATTCAAAGTAATCTTTTTTGTTGAAATACCACAATTTCTAAATTCTTAAAAGTTAAATTTAAGAAATATTTTCGTATGATTTTAGTAATTGGAATTCACTTCGACGTAATTCTTTCAACTTACACAAGTTATGATGTTCAGAATTCGCGATGCAAACGGTAAAGTGAATCAAGCCAAATTTGATATGATCTGGCCACGATTGCGGGTACTTGCTCGAGCACAGCCATCAGACAAATATGTTCTAGTTAAAGGAATAATTGATAGTAAATTTTCAAAAAACAGGTAAGAAAAAGTGTCCGAACTTTCTTTAATTATTATAAGAATTGTTATTTAAATGATGAAAGTTATCATTCAACTCACTGTTTGGTGTAGACATAATATTAAATGAGTGTGATTATTTGCGCTTATTTCAATGATATTTAAAGAGAAGTGGTTGCTGTAACAGGCGATGGTACAAATGATGCACCTGCTTTAAAAAAAGCAGATGTGGGATTCGCGATGGTTGGTACATTTTCATATATTCATAACATTTAAAATGTGCAGTTTATGATAAATGCATGGTTGTAGGTTTTGAAAAAATAAGTGATGTTGAGTATGTGTGAGAAATAGCATTTAAAAATATTATTTACCAAAAAATTTCACAGTCTTTCTCCATTTTTCAAACTTCTGGAGGATAGTTGAATATATGCTTTCAGGGCATCGCTGGTACAGATGTTGCAAAAGAAGCATCAGATATCATTCTTACTGATGATAATTTTACCTCTATTGTAAAAGCGGTCATGTGGGGCCGTAATGTGTATGACTCGATCTCAAAATTTTTACAGTTCCAACTAACAGTAAATGTTGTTGCTGTTACGATTGCATTTATTGGTGCATGTGCTATAAATGATTCTCCTTTAAAAGTAAATCATTTTATCATAACAAAAATGAATTACTCATTTTTTAATTCTGGGAAATTTTAGATAATTTTTGAGCTTGAACAGAACATTAATTTCAGGCTGTACAGATGCTTTGGGTAAATCTAATTATGGATACATTGGCTTCATTAGCATTAGCCACGGAACTGCCAACAGAAGATTTATTAGAACGAAAACCATATGGACGTACAAAATCTCTCATCTCTCGAACTATGCTGAAGAATATTATTGGTCATGCAGTATTTCAACTAATTGTCTTATTTGCTATTCTTTTTTTTGGTAAGCAAGCGAAGTTCATGGAGTAAAATTTGCTGAAATTCATTATTTTCACAGAAATTTGTAATGTTTCATTGATTTATTTCATATTCAATAGTTTGTCTGTCATTTCATATACTAATCTTGTTTATCACTTGTTTTATGAAGTTATTAATGATTTTTTCCAGGGCATAAATTCATTCCGGACGAGGAAAATGGCCACTGGGAACTACTGAAATATCTTTCTGCAAAACACTTCACTATTATATTCAATGCTTTTGTTTTAATGACTTTGATGAATGAAATTAATTCAAGGAAAGTTCATGGTGAACGAAATGTTTTTAAGGTCTGCTCTCATGCTTATAATTTTTTATAGACATATATATGTCTACAAATATCTTACTACGTTGTATTTCATACTGATGTGATACTTTTCTGATTGCTTTTGACTAAATGCTTTTCTAGTATTCCATATAATTCGAACAAATTGCTTATTCTAATATATATTTATATGAAATAAAATTTCTCAAAACTAAGCTATTTCTTGAAGTTTTAGGGGCTCTTTACAAATCCAATATTTTGCATCATATGGATCATAACATTGATATCTCAAGTGTTAATTGTACAGTTCGGTGGTCCATGGTTATCAACAGCTCCTTTAACTGAGATTCAATGGGCTGTTTGTGTAGCTTGTGCATTTGGCACTCTTGTTTGGGGTCAGGTGTGTATTTCTTAATCAAATCACTTTTAGTAATCTTTAATGACTCTTGTCTTATTCTGGGGTTTTAATTTTGTTAATATTCATATATGCCATATTTTTTATATATTATGAAGAAATACCATTTTTTAGGTTCTTGCAACAATTCCAAGTAAAATTCTCCCAAAATTTTTTGCATTTGGTGGTGGAGAAATTCAGCCAACGTCTATTCTAGTGACTGGTGAGTATGATACTACGGATGGTTTAGTAAAATCAAGGGAAAACCAAAAAAGACCTGGACAAATGTTATGGCTTTTAGGTTTGACGCGACTACAAACGCAGGTCTGTTATCATGAACGGTTTTCAGATGATTGGTTTTGCTCACTATTACTTTATTCATTGTTATATTGTTGTTGATTGATAATTAAAATAAGCAAAAAATGCGTCCATTAGTGTTGTCAATTTTTATTTGTTTATCATCTTGTCATTCACTAGCATGACTGGTATTAAACTGCTAGAAACAAGAGTCTACGTATATAATATTTTGTTTCAACCTTAAATTTTAACATTTCGTGCAATTTAATAATTCACAACTTGATGAATTTTAATAACAAAATTTGTTCATTATTAATTCAAAATTTTTTAAAATGTAAGTGGTATGCAAGTCAGCTAATCAAACAGTTTTTATTTTGAATCATTTTCTTTTTAAATAACTCGAGAATGCTACTAATACATAAAAATGTGCATGAATTATAAACTTGAACAAGTCATGAAATATTCAAATAATTCGTTATCTAAATAAGTAACATCTTTGTGATTGGTTTAATGTTGTTTCATGCCTTGTCAGTCCTGATTGTGTTTTGCTAAACAGATGTAGACATTTGTATGGATAGTCTAGTAGTTTATAATTAGTATTTAGTAAGTGCTAGTCGGTAGATTGAATGCAATGTGCTTGCCAATTTAGTGATAGTCTTACAGATGCGTGTTATCCGGGCCTTCCAATCGAATGCATGTATTGTTCATTCAACTTCATTAACAACTTCTACTACTCAACGTCTTCGTGCCAGTTATCGTAGGCTTCAACTTGCAAAAGAAAGAGAAGAGCAAATAAGTTTGTCTAAAAAGCAATTTTTCCCAAAAAAATTTCATGGTGTAATGATTATAAAATTAAACTACATTAATTCACTGCTATGCTATGACTTTTTTATTTTCTCTTTTTTTTGATTATACTGAAAGTACAACAAAAACTTCTTTACTAGCATAGAAAAGTATGCAACAATTACTGGTTTTCTTTCAAGATAAATAACGTACTAAAAACGAAACTTTTGTGGAATAAAAGCACATTTAATCTCTTGAAAACGTGCTACTTTTTCATCGCACGGATTTTATTCAACAGGATGTTGTTTATCCTTAGTATATTATAGTAGTAGAAGTGCATGATGTACAAGTTTACTAACAGTCGACAGTGACTCTTTGAAATTTGAAATCATTCTCGGTTTTTTCTTCATACTTCCCTAGATTTGGTTGAAGATAACATCTTTTGCAGAGTTGAGCATGAAATTTTCGCTAGGATTAACATAAATATTAGAACTTGTGTTTATACAGTTGATATTACTGAATTCATTATAAAAAACCGATTTCGATTATTTTTGAACACAATCACTCCCGTTTGAAAAGTTTAATTTTTTTTCAAAAGTTCTTTTTTCTCTTCCAAATCTTAATACTTTTACCGTATAAGGCATTTATTGGCATTTTTTTCAGACCAGAATTTATCATTTTATTTTACTAGTGCTTTTTTCAGGGATACATTCCACAAGATCCGATGATGAAAATCAGATAAATAATGCACCTAAAGATACATAGCAATCAAGTTTGTATAAATGATATAGTTGTTCTATTGATTAGATTGTGCATAATTTTGTTATAATTTAGGGATATTCAATACTATTCTGTAGTATTGGTCCTTCATTGTCTTTTCAGAGCTTGTTATTCAGCTAATTATTTTGCATTAATGAAAATATCATTTGTTGATGCACAAATGCGTTCATTCACGAATCTCTTCATTTTGCTGTGAAATGAAAACCAATTTTAATTTCAGCGTATTCACACTGCAAAACTAGTTCATTAACTCTCTATTTCATGAGCTGTTTTTGAATATTTTGGTTCTCAAAAAAAAAAAAAA